TGCTGGGACTACAGGCATGCGCCACCATGCCTGGCTAATTTTTTCTATTATATATATTTTTAGTTGTCCAGCTCATTTCTTTCTATTTTTAGTAGAGATGGGATCTTGCTATGTTGCCCAGGCTGGTCTTGAACTCCTGACCTCGAGCGATTCTCCCGCCTCGGCCTCCCAGAGTGCTGGGATCACAGGCATGAGCCACCGCGCCCGGCCCACTGTGGCATTTTAATGTATCCCCGACCATCCCGCTGACCCCTGCTAGCCCCGGCCGTGGACAACAGCCCCGGTGCCTGGCGCAGCTCGCGAGCGCCGGGGCACAGCAGGGACTGTTCCCAAGAAACTCCTGCGTGGGCTGGGCGGCCTGCCTGGGGCTTCCCCGGGGACACTGAGCTGCGGTGTCGGAATCTCCCACCTGGGGCAGGGGCGGGGAAGGTGACAACAAGGGGCTTCTAAGGAGCTGGTGACGTTCTCTTTTTGACCTAGTGGTCACAGGGCGCGTCCGCTTTGTGAGGTTCACTGAGCGACACGCTCAGCACTGGCTCATTTCTGGGTGCGTTTTGCAGTTTTCAGAAAGTCAAGACGTAGAAAACTATTTCTGACGCTTCCTCCAAGTTAAAAATGATAAACGAGACGATGTCACCTCCTTCCCTGAAGTCACAGAACGGCTTTCTAGGGCACTATTGGGACTGCCTCCCGCCGACCCAGTCCTCGCCCCACGTCACCGCGCCCCTTCCTCGCGCCACCGCAGCCTTGGCCCGTCCCGGCGCCTGCCGCCTGGCTCTGCCCGACGTCCCCACCCCTAGAACTCGAGTCCCGGAACGGAGGGGCCTCTCTGTCCACCTGCGAACCGTAGCGCCCGACGCCGCGGAGGGCAAGCCGACCTGGGCGTGACGGTGGCCTTGGCGTGGGTCCGGACGGTCTTCTTCCCCCGGACAGGGCTCACGGGGGCAGACGCCGGCTCCTCCTTCACGGACTCCACCACGGAGGACTCTGGCAGCGCCGACAGAGACCGCGGAGGGGTTTCTCCCGGATGCACGTTCAGCTTGGGGATCCGCTCGAGGTGAGCTCCGGGCCTCGTCTGCGGCCGGCCGAATTTCCCAACAACGGGGTATTCGATGGTGAACAGCCCTGTGGACAGAGGACTCGCTGTCACCTCCCCTGCCGGGCCCTGCTCCGGGGCCCCCCGCGGCTGACCCCGATTCCACCCTTGACTCTCGCGGATTCTCCCGCCACCTCCCTGCCGCCTCCCCTCTGTCCCTCTGCACGGAGCCCCAGGCCTGGACAGCTGGTGACCGGTGACTGCTGGCTGGATGTGGGAACAAATAAATGTCACTTCTCGCATTCTCCAAGACACCCGGCACCGGTCCCCAGGTGGGTTCCCACAGCCCTTCGTACCCACTCTGGTTACAAACCTGACTGACCGGCATTGGGAGTATTTCCCTGTCTGCCTGACGCTGCGCTCGCCCGAACCCTAACCTAACCCTAACCCAACCCTAACCCAACCCTAACCCAACCCTAACCGT